TATATATATATATATATATATATATATATATATATATCAGGCTTGCACCATCAACAATGGGACTGAGACTAACTTCGAAGTTACGCGGTAACAATGTTGCGGGTTACCTACGCGACGGGCGAAACTCAGTGGGAACTTAGAAACCCAGCCAAGTTACGGTGCTGAGAAGTTACCCGAGTGCTTACCTCAGTACTCATACCCTCGACAAAACTCTCCCACCAACGTAGTCCAGGTTGGCGACCCTCCCAATCTTCGATAGTGTACTTGCTCATGCGGGTAGCCAGGTAGAGAACGGCGCAAGCTACAATCTCCGGTTCCCACTGGAGACAAAGTGTGGTGGCCAGACTGTCGTTGATGAATGACCAGGACATTTGGACGAGTTCCTTCAATTTTTCTTGGTTACCTTGCATGCAAAAAAGAAAGGAGAAATTATAAACGGAGATTGGCGGAAGGGGAGAAAAGTGAGGCGAACAGATAGGTCACAGCAAAAGACTTGCTGTTGCTGATGATGCCATAGGTTAGTGGGTGGGCTTAATCGGGTAACCGAGATGAGTTGGTTAGGTGGAGTAAAGTCCCTCGCGGGTGACAAGTAGCTTGATGGTGGTATCACAGTAGGATACAATCTATACTTAATTCGCTGGAGATACAATGAGTCTCCGATGAGGTTTCACTCGCATTCCTAAGCCTCCTCGTGTATTTGAATTAGGCAACGTCACATTAATTTTATCTATATGTAGTCGCGCATTGACGAGTTGCTGCAAAAGACGGGCACGCTAGCTGCGGACAATTCGAACATCTAGTTTTACTTCAAAATACGGTGGACCGCTTTTTAGATTCATGAAATTTCGTTTGTATAGCGTATTTCACAATAAATTCCTGTAAACAAACGTTATCTGCTTATGATTGATTGAAAATAATAAAGGAAAACCCATCCAGCTTGTTTTGGAATGCTTGAAGCGTACACAACCAGTACGGTAGTGACGGTTTTCGACTGCGCACACCACAAGTGGCGGGCTTGAGTCAACTGCGCATGCATCTTAAAGTATGTGTCTATGCACATTGTGTTGTGGCACTCAGCGACGAAACTGCAGAAAACAATGTTGAGTGAGGAATAGTGAAAAAATCCACATAGAGTCCTAGTCTAACACAGGCATCACCAGACTCCCCTCGTTTCATTCTAGTCCTTCAGTCGTGGAAAACGCATGGCTCGGCCATGTGTTACGCAGGCCGGGTCACCGTTTCCTGCAAAATGACACAAACTTTGAGGTGAACGATGCGTGGATTGGCAGTGTGAGAGAGATCACGGAGAGTTCGGGTGCAGTGGGTACAGTCTACCTTCCAGGATGGAGTCTCTGTGCCTCCCTCCAGTGCACCTGGCTGGGGACCAGGCAACAAATGGCAACTATTCGATGTCAGCGGTGTTCGTGCTATCATTTCCTTCCTAGATCGTCTGATTGGGCGCTTGGAGATGTGGACACCCTAGAATGCGCTAAATAGGCAAGTACCCATCCACTCTTTTATGTTTACTTTTAAGTTAATAAGTAGACTTTTGGATTGCATGACAATGGAGCATCAGTGCCAATATTGATGCCGTTGTCTCCGATGACGATAACGACGATAACAGTCAAGATAACCTCTTCAGGTTAGAAAGCCAGGTGTATAAAGCTGCGATATGGATTTCCGTTAAGTACCATTTCGAATGATCTGGACTATCCGGAATGGGAAAATGTGAGGTATCGAGCTCAACGTAGCCACGGATCAAGGATGACAGTTTCCATACTGAGACATACCTCCTTCGTTCAGATGTAACACCCTTTCAGTGTCTAGATGCCATGCCACCCGAAGAAAGTACGAGGGATGAGATACTTTCAGGATGCCCTAGCCTATACAGGACCAATGAAGATGCACAGCGTGAGTTTGAACCACGGACCTCCTGGTCAGCGAGTTCGTGCCCTAACCGATTAGCTACTTGAAGTTCCTAACGGGGGACACTGAAAATACCAGTGCGACTGTTTGGTAGATTATGATACTTTAACTCTTCGATTTCAGGTCAAGATCTAACTTCCCTTGAGCCGATTGTGCCCAACAAACCACTTAGTGACAACGAGTTCGAGATGCAGGTGATGCGGAAGGGAAAGCCCTAAGGAGCATCGTAGGATGATTTTATAGAGAATACATGAAAACAGCACCTCAGTTATCGTCCAGCAAGAACACACATCGATTTTCAGTACACTGTCCCTCAGTAATCGTGAAAATGCGATTCAGAAAACACCTCAGTTTGTGACATGAGAAGAAAAGCGAACACCAGAAATAAGAGTTACCTTTGATCCGTTTCACAAACTGCAACAAGTAGGAATAAGGGTGTGACACTTGCAAGTCAAATTTAATTGTTTTGAGTAGCACTCGTTCATAGGCCATAACTTCTTCCTAAAATCTAAGATGAAGAAAGAAGGAAATTCTATTTACTCTAGGGTCCGAGCCGAACTGTTCAAAAATCGCCTCGGGCAACAGTAGTCGGGCGGTCTTTACAATGTCCCTAACTTTCTTTGGAGTCTCCTCTACTTTCCCCGCCAGCATGAGACAACACGATGCAGTTACCTTCAGTTGATGGTTCGAAAGAAGTTAATGAAAACCACTTACGTAGCGTGGGAATGCCTTGAATGAGTGAAACATGTAAAACCGATGGAAGAATACGATAGCGGTGGCACAGGTGTCGTAACGCAGATTGAGCTTACTGCTTACGTCGAACAGAAAACGAGCGCCTTCACGCCGGTAGCGAGCCTCAGTCTCTGGATCGATATGATCGTAAAAGGATGGAGTTTTTTGCAGTTCCTCCCGAGTGTAATACCAGCAAGGCATTTGCTATCGAAAAGGATTAATAGCTTTCACCTCAGACCCTACCTGGTCTTCCATGCTGAGAAGACGGTAGGAGGGATAGGGTAGAAAACGTGGAGATTATATGGTATGCTGGAAGGAAGAAGAAACACGCGTGAGGGTAGTAAGATACAAAATCCAACCGTTAACTATAGTATCGTTTTGTTGCAAAGCTGTTAGGTAGCTAGCAGGAACAACGATGATTAAGATATCACTGCATTTCCCAAGGATGAAAGTGGCCGAAAAGCAACAGCTGGAATACGAACCACAGACAATCCAGATAGTAGTCAGCGCCTTGATAACTGGGCTATTCCGATTACCGCATAGAAGTGTGCATTGGCCTGCTTTCAGCATAAAAAAGCTGGCTGATAGACTCTAGATTTATGTCGCCAGGCAAGCCCGTCAACAGTCTTTACCACAGGTGTCCTGTCCATTAGATCCGGTGGTATATCTCCTTAATTTTAATTTCAAATCTCATGCGTGACCTTCGTATTCCGAGATGTTGAACATCCTGCGGCGCTTTTCTCTCGGTGCTGCGGATGTCAGTTAACTTGTAAGTCTACCAGTTATATGGATACAGGAAACCAAAACTTTTATCTCTAGCGAGGCCCGGTTTATCTCACACTTTCTTTGCACCAGCACTAGTGTAGCCAAGAAGCTTTCGGAACACGGTGGTGTGTCTGTCTCATTGTCAGTGTTATTTCACCTACGAAGTGCTTGGCTCTGGTTTTTAACCATGTGCCACCGGATCTGAAAGTCAGTTGTAAGTCTCCGGGTGCATCAACCGAAATATACCTACATTATCGTCGTTGTGGATGCCCAATTGGGTCGGCTGAATCACGAGCATTGATGTCTGAGTGGTCGAATTGAAGTCGATGCTTACCACCGACAACAACAACAGTCGTGTGCTGCCTCCGGATGTTCTTTCACTGCGACAGCAGCCACCGAATGCAGATCAACACTGAGTCTATTCGGATCATGTGGCTATAAGCTACCGATGGAGACCTATGGTTCAAGAACGTTGCTCATTCCGCAGTACGCGACTTAAACCTATAGTGCGACAGTGTGCTTTCCGACCAGGATATCACAAGTCTACTGCTGGTCTTCAAGGAACCATCGCAACACAGCATCATCGATGTGAGTTGACTAAAATGCCCTTAGAAGCGGGCTACCTCTATTCCTGGATCTCTATGACTCATTCGATTCGGTTGAACAGTCAGTTCTCCCTAACATACGTTCATAGAAAGAACTAAGCCGGAAGTTAGTAAACAAAAAGGTCCTTTGTATTTGCATATATGCGGCCGTGTGGGCATTCGGAGAGTTCTCCAGAAGCTTCTCTGTCCAAAACGTATCCGTCAACGGTGCCCACTCTATCCATTGTGATCGACGAGATAGAAACACTGGTTCTTCAAAACCCTGATGTTCAAATAGCTTCTGAGAAAAACGTTGTCTGGAATATGCAGACGTATCGTTCCGGATGTAAGAAGAATTTACCAGAACCGTTTTCTGGAGTCGCTTCCAAATGCTCCACCATCGGACGCCAACTCATACTGGGGCAGCATCGCCACATCTTTGCACGGTGCTGGGAATTTCACCCTTGGCACAACTCTACCAGGCCCATCCAAGCACTAGATATAAGACAGAATAGTGGCACTGTTTAAGTATTGGAGAATTATCCCGCCCATTCCGAACATAACTTGGCCCGACGAAATATCAGACGTCAAGTGAAAGTGAGCGTGCAAGCCGACTGTGAAGTTTGGTGGAGTAGAAAGTCTAAGCAAATGGAAGACGTCCTGAAAGTAGAGGACGCCTGAAGATTATTTCCTGCGACCGGCCCCGGGAACAGCTTGTGGACCAAAATAACACGGATCGGACTTCAGCTAGTATCTTTAATGAAGAATAACGCCTCGACCGGTGGGCCGAATATCTTAAACAACAATTATCGTGGCCACAAGCTACCACCTACTAAAACTGAAGTAGAACCGTGGACAGTGAACGTGGAAACCCCTCCAGATTGCATACGTTCTCACAAGCGTCACCGAACTCCTGGTTCGGATGACTTCCCACTCGCATTGTTCAAAGATGGGAGGTGAAGTCCTCAGTTAGCGCTTGTCCGATATGTTCGCCTGTATGTGGGAAAATGATATTGTAACAGACAGTGCCCATTTTCAATAGAGGGGCTCGTAGTGAGTGCGGTCAAAACGAGACTATTGCCGTCACTTGTTCTTCATCGCCTTATGGTGACTCATGAAACACTGACTCGAGAGCTGCAAGGTAGGGGTTGTGTTGAATACGTCTTCACATTCTGTTAGGTGCCATAACAATACCATGCGCATAAGCGACCCAGAATACTAGTATTTCTGGATTTCCAAGGCATATTCGACTTAGTCGACCGGACTGTTGTCCTTGACATCCTAGTATTCCTAGTATTCCCAGACTTCCGAAAGTGTGAGTTTACGGAGAGCTCTCTTAGAGCTTCCATACACAAAGAGGCTTCTGTCAGGGGTGCCGACTCTTTCCACTCCCATTCAATTTCGCGATCGATGAGACGAAGGCTAGAAAGTCTTCAATACCCCGGTGCTAACATAGGCCGACGGAGCTTTGTCGATCTAGAATATGCAGATGACATCGTTCCCGTCTTTGAAGAGGAGGGAAAAAACGCAGGTGTTTTTGGATAAAAGCCATCCTGTCCTTTGGTATGTATCCCGCACCCACAATGTGTAAGACCAGGCTCGTTGACATTCATTTGCTGAACGCGCTACTTACAATCCAGGGAGAGGTACTCGAGACTGTGGAGCGTTACGACTGTGGTGTGAAAGATGAGGTCAATTCATGGATCTCCAAGGCTCGGATGGCGTTCGCTAATATGAGACACCTATGGCGTCAAAGGGGTGTATCCCTGAATCTCAAGGGACGTGTCTACCAGGCTACAGTGCGGGCCTTTTTGCTGCAGGGCAATGAAATTTGGCTTTTTCGAGCAGCAGAACTCAGACGTCTTCGGGTGTTCGACAACCATTGTCCCAGAAGCATTGCTCCGTGACGAGACAATCAGAACGCGAGTTTTCGTTTGCGCAACGCGGACTTCCAGTGAAGAATGCGCAGCAACAGAACTATCGTGTACCGAAGGGAGTGCTTCAATCCGTGCCCAATTCAAAGTGGCGAAGCAGATAAATGGCCACCCTTTCACGTGGCATAAAGGTATGAAGGACATCACGAGACGTTTGGGCGCTGTCGTGATGCTCAACAGTTTTCAGGTAGTGCATAAGAAACATACAAGGAAACCCAAGACGTTACCGGTAGAAGAGCAGTTAGAAAACCGGTTCTAGTACACGTCAGTGTTTTGTGGAGCCGTGACAACCCCGGCTTATCCGAAACAAGACTGCAGGAATACACTAGAGGCCCTGAAGTATCTCACTTCACGAATCCGCGCATTGATACACACGATTAAAACCTTCGCACAAGCTCGCCGTGCTGAACTTGTCCTTGTTGATCAGCGGCTCCCGTTCGCCTGCAAGACGCAAGCGAAAAAGAATGTTGCACCGGTCTTAAGTACTGGGCTGTAGGTTTGCAAGCTCGATAACTTACATGAAAAGCACCCACAAGTGCTTTGGACTAAGTTCTACATGCAGCGTGGACAACCGTCAGTGGAAGTTTAGACTGCACGAACTAGCCGAAATAAGAAAGATTGCTATATAATAAAAGTGAACACTCTGAGCTTAAAATTTTACTTACCATGTGTTACTTACCGGTGAAAAACTTGTCTAAACCTTGTTCTGACGAGGCATTAGTAAGCGTTAGGCCCCCGAAGGCAACGATACTCCAGTGGATTGAGTGCAAACACCTCGAGACGTATTTCATGACAGCCCGTTGGGCACTCCCAATAAGGTCTAAATCCATCTTGCCTCCTGAGAAGACAACCTGATTCGTGTACCCTAGAAGTGGTCTGACGCAGGTCCCACAGAGTATTTGGATTTCCATTCGAGTAACAAAAGGAAAGTGCGCCGAAACATCCGTCGTTCAGCTGTAACACCACTTCAATACCTAGCTGCCATGCCAAAGAAAGAAGGCACGAAGTTTGCCCAAGCCTAGACAAAGGAAGTCGAGTGCAGATGGGTCCGAACGACGGAAGTTCTGCTCAGTAAATTCGCGTTTTAACTACTGAGCCGTCTAGCCGAATCATCCGTAGAGTGACGAGCGCCTTTTCAATGTGGAATTAGAAGGACATGGTTGACAAACGCCACATAACTATTTATCTTCATTACGTCTTCTGGCACATTCAGTTTTATTCTCCATACACACCAAAGGCGTTCGCTGATTCCCTTCCGAAAGATATCTGGACGCACTTTCCGTCATTCAAAGGAAGGTACCAGTCCAGTGACTACTCACTTGTAGCGTCGACATCCATTTGGAGGACGCTGAAACTCCAGGATTATAGGCCGTCCACAATAAGTAGACACGGACTTGAGAGCGCGTCTCAGAGGTCTTTGACTTAGATCAGAAAGGGGAATGGTTACAAAAAAGAGCATTGAGGAACTTGAATGGAGAACGGTGCAGAAAAAGCGTAGGTTGAGCCGCTATTTACTCGGAAAGTTCTACCTGACAGGAAAGCCTCAATCCTCCTTGAACCCCATAAGAATAGAGTTTGTGGAGCAGTGAAACGTGTGGGACTCAAAAGAATACTTTTGCGAAGTCGAAAAATGTGGCGTCCAATGAGACCTTCGTCTATCGCTTGGGTCAGGCTATTCATTAATACAGGGACATTGGTCAGGCAAGAACATTTTGGGATATCGAATTGTTGGAAGTGCGGTTATTTGAGATAAATTGCTTCAGATTGCATTCCAGCATCTTATATGACGTGCCAGTGAGGTTATTAGGCCTGTAGCTGCCGGGCGATACGCTGTCACCAGATTTAGAATGGCGTGAAAATAGATTTCTTTCAAGTAGAGGGGAGGTTCGTCTTCGTCGAGCGACTGGCAT